ATATATATATATATATATATATATATATATACATATAAAGATATGAAAAAGTAATAAAAAGGAAGAGATTGCAAGGTATGACAGACCAAAAATTTTATTTCCTGGTCATGAAAGAGAATGACTTACAGATGCATTGAAGCACCATTTCATTCTTTATAAGTGTTTATAAATAAAACTAATGAAAGTATTCATAGAAAGATTTGGAGACAACATCTTAAAAGATGTGGTGAGCGCGGATCATGTCATCAACAAGAAGAGGAGCAACACAAAGAGAAGAATTGACGATTAAGTTTGGCATAACCAACTTTAGTTCAGCCTGACCAGATTCAAGTTTGGCTCGACAAGGTCCCAGTAGGCCCAACCAGCTCCATTTTGGTATTGCTATGTTCCAACCAATCTGAATAGTTCCATTCGGCCAAGCTAGGTGCTGGTATGTCCGACCAACTCTAGATAAACTAGGCCAGGTCCCAGTCGGCCCGACCAACTCCAATTTTACTTAATCAAGTTCCAATTAACGTGGTCAGGTTCCATTCAGCCAGACTAGGTTCTAGTTGTCCAGTCTAGGTTCTAGTCAACCCGACAAAATCCAGTTGGCCAGTCTAGGTTCTAGTCAACCCAACAAAATCCAACTGCCCAAGAAAATTACTCTCCCAAAAATGTTCTCTAAAAACATCTTCAAGAAAATTATTTGTCCAAGAAAAAATAAGTCACGAAGAAGTAAAGCCAAACAATAAGAGAAGTCATTTATATTTTTTTCTTACTTCTTCAATATAAATTTGCCCATAAAACTCAGGGAATTCGTCTCTCACGAGTCTGTTTGTAAAGAGTAAAAGAAAAATTGTTTATATTTTGTACTCTACTTGGCTTAGTAGTTGAGTGCTGGGGAAGACTTTGGAGAATCTTTTTCCAAAAAAATAACTAAGCCAAAAAAAGATTGAAGTTACTTAACCTAGCTTTGAAGATCACTAGACATTAGTCTAGTTAAAGTTGAAAATTTTTGGCAACTACTCCCTATAGGAAATCTATGCCCTTCCCCCCGGGCGAAGGATAATTCATATTTAATGAAACTACGTAATTTTTTTTTTTAATCAAGTCATTTTAGAAGAAAATAGTCAATCAAGTTGCATAAAAATACCTTTCGTTGATAACCAAGTTATATATAATAGTAATGTGTTGGTGATGTATGAGACTACTCTATGAAGATGAGCCAAAATGTCCCCAGGATGGAATCTTGTATGTGGGTTAAGAGTTCATAGGCAGTTGAAAAGTTGACATAATAAATGCCCCCACTTATTTTTACTTGGACAATTTGTTAAATTGTATTTGGAGAAAAGCATGCACTTTTCTTATAAAGAGAAATAATTTAAGTTCCATATTCATTGTTCTCTTAATATTTTTGCAGATTTCTTTCAAAGATATAAGAAAATCGTGAAACTAATATGTATGATAAATATTTTTTTAGAGTTTAAGATGCAGAGATTGACCAAAGTATCAACTGAACTTGACCAGTTGGCCCGACCAACTCTATTCTGCCAAGCCAGCCTCTGTTCATCAAAACTAGTTTTTCGTCAGCAAAGTCAAGTTCCAGGCAGCCGGGCTAGGTTTTGCTTGGCCCCATTTAGGATAGGTTCCAGTCGACCCATCGAAGTTCTACTCGGCTCCGACCATGTTCTACTTGGCCATAGCTAGTATCTACTTATCCAAGTCAATGTCCTTTTGAAACAGAGGGTTTATATTACCCACTATATATGTGCTCTAACACTCAAATGGCCACAACGCGATCGTTGGATGCACCACATTTGGAGGTTACTGTAGAACCACTCCGTGTATCTGGCAATGGTGACAGTTTCTGGCAGTCTCCATGCAGTCGACCAACTTTGTTGGCCAGTAATATCCCAACCTCTTGATCTTCATCTTCATTTTCAGCCCCTACTGGTGAGAGCCGCTTAGTCCTACATGACTTCTTTGACGATCTTCCGTGCTTCTGTCTTGCTCAGGCATTTCAGCCACATGTAGTCGAAGGATCTCTTGTACAAGGTATTATCGGGTAGGGCATATGACAATGCTCTCTTCTTTATTTGGTGCATTGCGGACCTATCTTCTGGCAGTTTCTTGATTTTCAAATATTCGATGAACTGACAACACCAACCTTCTATGCCTTCGACAACCATTGCTATTGTTTCTCCATTTCTTCACACACGCAGGGTATCCATGTCAATTTGGGATAATACTTGACACTCTCTACATTTTATGTCCGCCTCATGTCTCTGTTAATAGTTCTCATCCTGATCCCTCTACGATGTCAACTGTCTGCTAATGAAATACTCTTTCTCAGTATTTATTTTTCGAGTGTACACTTAAATTTGAGGAACACACTCTCTATACCATCCTATTGAGTCCATCTTTCTCTCGACTCTTTGTTCATGATCATCTCTCTAATTACGTTAATAAAGTCTACAACATATTTACCTCTAGCAGGTCCAACCTAAGAATTAAATTCTATTGATGTTGTAACTATTCTTGGTCTCAGTTGAAAATAGTATGGGAAATAGAGTAATTATGAATGAACTTCGTACTAATGTTAAAAATTTTAGAAAATCTAAATTCAAATTTGGGCTTTGCGTAAACATTGATCTTCTACACAGCTCAAAAGTTGAGTATTTTCATTACATAAACGATACATGAAAGCAAATTTCTCTTTACACTCTCACAAAAAAAAACAAGAATTTGTTATGAACAAACCTATATTCTAATCTCCCATACAAATGCTTTGGACAAAATAATGACCTGCACAAATTTTACACATTTCCTAAGAAAAATTCTCAAAAAAAGCTCGACTGCATTTCCAACAGTTGAAGATGCGCTAATATTTTAGCAATCATTGGCTTCAGGATTGGATCTCCTTTCTGAGCAAGCTCAATGAGTAGATGCTGAGCAGCTTCACCATATTTGCTTCTGTGAGCTCCAACTCTGAAAATCCTCTCCAGCATCCAGACTGCTTTCTCCTGAGCTTTCAAGCTCCCAACTTCCAGAATCCTTATGACAGCCCGCACTCCTGATGCCTCCTCTATGACATCACTGCCACTCTCAAAGATTGGATCCTGCAACAGAGTTGAGAGTGCGCCAAGTACAGCTTCATCAGCTTCCCTTTCCTTACCCTCCAGTATTTGTACAAGAGGAGATAAAGCTCCCGCCTTTACAAGGCAAAATGTGCTTTTGACAACGCAGAGGCCTTTGTGCACACCACACAGTTTTTCTGCAGGAGGAGGAACGCAGAACCACCTTGATGACTTTACTTTGCTTAAGAAAAGAGTATTCTGAGATAGTTGAGCCAAGGAATTTGCTGCTCTGGAGTTCGCAACAATGGAATTGGCTGACAGAAGTTTCACAAGACAGGGAATTATTCCTTGGGATGCAGATACTTTCTGCAATTTCTTATCCGAGGGAACTGTGAATCGAAGCATGACAGTGGCGATGCTGTCCAGTAACCATTTCCTCGTTGGGGTTGAGGGAGCTGTGCTGATTGTGCCAGTTAAAGTGACCAGCAAAGGAAGTAAATTTGCATTCATGAGAAGTTGAGTTGCCTTCTTGTCGCTCACAGGGGTGTTGCTGATAATGCCTAAAGCAGCAGCCTTTTCCATCTCAGATGATGCCTTTGAGATTATGTCTACCATAACAATGAGATAGTTCTCTCCTGACTGCCCACTCAACTCATCTGCAAAATATGTGGATAGATTAAACAGCAAGATCAAGGCAGCAATCCTGATTTCATCATTGGTGTTGAACAGGAAAGGCACGAGTAGCTGCATTGCTCCATTTTCTTTCATTTTAGCTCTTATTCTTTTAGCTCCGGAATGGCCAGCCATGCTATTCAGAGCATTTAGAAGGTGTAATTGGATCTCTGGACTGGATAGATTAAGAAGTGAGAGCATCTGCTGAGCTGTATCTTTCCTCTGAAGAATGATTTCAGATTTCGCCAAGCTTGCGAGTATGGCAGAAGCTGGTTCTCTCAGAGTCATTAGGACGGAGGTGACGGAGAAGAGGACCTGAAGCAGATTCGATATGACTCCCGAATTGATGAGGCGTTCATTGTTCTCTTTCAAACAAGAGAGATTCCTTATGGCATTTAGAGCAGACAACTTTGCTTCCATTTTACCAGAGTTGAACATTTTCACAAGGGCCTCTATTGAACCTTCCTTTCCAAGGTCGGCTTTCATTTCATCAGTCAACTCCATCCTTGAAATTGCAGAAGCCATGAGAATCTTGTTCATATCTGAACCTGTAAATGCAATCTAATGAATTAGATACTTCTGTCTTATAAATCTGTACTTGGAAGACATAGCCAACATGTGCAATGAAAATGAGAACCAGTTAAGACACATTAATGGTTTGAAATTGAAATAAATCCATTAAAAAGCTTTTACAAAGTCAAAATATATAAGACTTCAGAAAAAAAAAAGAACATTCCAAATAACTAAGCATAAAGGATTTTTTTGCCTATTTTTTGACAATAGAAACATTCTGAACCATCCTAACAATCAAAATTCCAATGAACCAGAAAGGAATTTTCATAATCACCTTCTTTCAAGTATTGCACCAAAGGCACACAGAAACCAGCCTCTGCCATCAGAAGCACGTTCTGCGTGTTGCTCGACAAAGCCGCCAATAACTTTCCCGCATCATACGAAGCAGAAGGATCTGATCCATTAAGCAATGTGACCAACATCATGATACAACCCTGGACTCGTCCAATCCTTTGTCGAACTTTGGCCAAATCCGCTAATTGCAAAAGCAGTGCAACTGCTTCCCTGCTCTCATCCACATTCCTTGCCAAAGACTTCACAATGCTAGATAAGGCCTCCGGATTTGCCATCATCTCCTGCAACGCATCAAGCAATATAAGAACAATAGGACATTCTTCTCGATAGAGATCATATCAACTTAATCCCCTTACATCTTTATCTTCACAATAAGAACCAACACCCAAAATTCCATCTTGGAAATTATCTAAGAACCCCTTCCAAGTTTACATATATTGATTCTCAAATGTAAGCTTTTAAAGGTCCTAATAGTCTTACTGCTCCTGAATTTATCTTTTTTCCTGAATAAATGATACATAACCTTATAACATAAAAGGCGTTAACTTTAGTCTATTCTCCATCTCTCAACAGCACCGGAATTAAGAAACTACTGAATTCAGAAAAAAAATTATACCTTGTATTCATCATTGGTGTCAGCAAGTCTCCTCAACAGCACAATTATTCTCAATCTGCAACCATTTTTAGCAGAGCCCAATCGACTCACCAGAGCTTGAATCACGCCCTCACTTTCTTCCTCCCCAACCAATCTCTTCCTAATCAAAACCTCAAGCACCTCAAGCGCACCTCGTAGCTCCTCCTCCTCCCCTCTCTTAATCCCCATCACCACATCCTCAACATCCTGCACAATCTCCCCACCATCCGCTTCTCCGCCGCTAATTTCCACCCTGCCTCCCCTCTTCGAATCGAGCTTCACGGACATCATCTCCTTCTGCAGCGCGCCCATCTTCTCCTTCACATCAACCTCCGCATCCGTCCAGGCGAGCAGTAACAGGCCGAGGCATCTTCCAATGTCTTGAACAGACTCCTGGATCAACTCGATGGGGGAAACCAATGGCCCTGTGGGCTTCTTCACAAGAGCAAAGGATCGTTGGAGCACAGCGCGGAGAGAATCGAGGGCTTTGTGCATCGGGAGGGGAGCCGGGGTTTCTCGTCGCCGGAGCTCGAGAAGGAGAAGTTTCAGGCGGTGGAGAAGGGGGTGAGCTGGTGCAAGTACTCCGGCGGCAGATTCTTCGAGTGAGTTGAGCACGTCTGACAAGAGCGCCGGAAAGATGAGGGGAGAGGAGGAGGAGGAGGTGGAGGCGCCGGCGAAGGGAAGGGTTTTCCCCATGCCGGGGGGCGAGGGAAAGTGAAAAAATGAAGCTTTTTTGCTTTCCTTTCGATTACTTCGAAGTGGAGTGAGGGAGGAGGAAAGGTGGCGATTGGGAAGGGGAGGAGAGATGGGGAAATGGAGATGGGAGGGATTTGGAGGGGAGACGGGGTCAGCGGTGTAGCCGCAGCCATTTGCGAGTAGACCTACGGTAGGATGACTGGAAAATGCGGGCTACGCGCGACTAGATTTTTGTGAGAATTAGTCCAAGAGAAATCTAGCGCACGCTATCCATTAATCATTATAATTTTTTGATAGATTTACATTCATGTCACTTAATTTCTATATATTTATATATATAACATTTAAAGTTCAATTTTTTATATGTAGGCATCCTTATTTATGAATGAAACTATGCATATCATTTGGGTGACATAAATGTAAAACTTAAAATATAGTTCTCATATGTAAATACAAATGAACTCGGTGGTAAGGTGTGAAAGTTCTCATTCTCGAGGATTGAAATTGTTTTAGTAGGATTGAAATGGGTGGTAAGGTGTGAAAGTTCTCATTTCGAGCCGATCCAATGAAGTCTCGAGGATTGAAATTGTTTTAGTAGGATTGAAATCGGATCACAAATCAATCCTATTAAGTTTCTATCTGATCCAGTGTGAATCGATCCAATTTTCTAGCCGACTAGAATTATAAACGAGCTAGCTCGAATGCCATTGTTGGCTCGTGAGTCACATCGGTTTTGCTCGAACACAACCCAACCAACCCACCAACAAAAAAATAATAATTTATTTTTAATTTTTTTTTGTTGGTGAAAAGAGAGAATTCTCTGCCACCCAGTTCAAGCAAAAAATGCCACACAAACCAATGTGATGATGCATTATGCATATAAAAGTAAAGTTGTAGGTGTTAAATATATAGGAACTGGGTGGTATGTATGTAAATGTCCCAGTTTAAAAATAATGATGTACATGATGTTATGAATATGTGTTTTACATATAAAATTAGTAAGCATGAATCTCAAGATAGATAAATTGTTCATGATGAAGAAATAACCGATTGAACGTAGTTGTTGATGGGTTGGGTGACGGTTAAAAAGACATCTTGTTCGAACGATCGGCAAAACGAAACGTGCCAAGAGATTTCCCGTAGGGTGGTGATCAGTCCTCAGGATGATCAACATGAAGCTTCCATTCTGTCTAAATATCAATCGATACGAGGCTTGTTGGACCTACAAAAACTTACATTTAGTGATAGATTCAAGTTAGACCTTTAAGTTA